ACTTATGACTCAGAACATATCATGAAAAACAGAGGGACTTAGGAGTGAATCGTGTATTAGCCTAAAGAATTGTTAGAGATAGATTAGAGTTCGAGTATTACCTACCCAAGAACAGCAAAAGAGAACTATTTTTACCTACCTACAAGACCATCAAGCAAGTTACCTCGGACAACAAGTCGGAGTAAGATGTGTTGCGGAGCGGAGAAGTACAAGAAATCTCTTAGGGCGCGCCTTGCTTTCCACAATGGTCAAAGATTTCCAATGGTTCCATTCCCTTGGCTTCCGCAACGCGCCAGTATGTACCAAAAACTGGACTTCCATAATTGACCAGTCAAGCAGCTGACACCAATTCTTTCCAGGATCGAGGCAGCTTGGGCGAGACCAGGACATCAAGCGTGGAGATTTGATATATTGGATTGAAAAGCCAATCACCGGCAGCAATCTCATCTCTTGCGCTAGGATCATATTTGGGTGCTGGGTTAAAATTGGCAACCTGGGAAGTCGTATTGGTTAATATGGCAAAAAAGCCTTGGTTTGTAGGTATATGTTGTAAAGCATGAAGGAAGTTACAGAAGAATGAGAATTCCTTTGATGATTGCTTGGGTGTCAAGAGTAATGACCACGCCTCATTTATTGCAAGTAATACGGTCAGGAAAGAGCAATGAATTTGGTTCTTTAAGACCTTTTCTTTATCTGGACGGCTACCTTGAAAGAAGTCGGTCACAACCTCAAAAATAGCAATGAGGAGGTTCTTGTAGTAACTTGAAAAATCTACGACCGTGGTTGGTGTCATGGCAGAAGCCAGAGCTGATTGGGGTGGCTGCCCAGTGGAGTCATCGCGAAGGCAGATATAAATTACACATACATGCTTCGATAGCTTGGTTGACAATCAAGTTTTTCCACTCGTCGTTGGGGAAACCAGGGATGTATACGGGGAATGATACGCGGTTTCAATCCAGCTGGCTGCTTGCTTTCAAAGTTTTTTCAAGATTGGAAGAACGATAAGTTCTGATTTCATGTAAGGCCCATCATAACCTTTCTTGATAATATCAAGGCTTATTCGTGAGGTTATGGCTTTGCTGCCAGGTTTTGTTGCTAGAGATGATATATGTTGCTCGGCAGCTTCATTGGAAGATTGTAGCAGTGCTTCAATCATATTGGAGACAGTGATCATTTTGTTGGTAAAATAGTTGGGGTGATTTTGCAGGAAAGCAAGTCAAACAGCTTGGTCCTTCAGGCCTTTGTGGTCTTGAATTTGAAATGTATCTGCCATAGTATTAACCAAACATTCTCGAGCAACAAACATATGCCAAATCAAACAAAATGAGCTGAAATGCACATTAGCAAGCACTTGCTGAGAGAAATTATTCAGATCATCGAGATATTGGTCGACAAGTTCCACTGAAAACAGAGTCAGGAAAGAAGAGAAAACCTCAGTGTCAATCATAATGAGATGAAATGTTTTTAACAGAATTTACATACACCCTGCCTTATTCAGAAGGAAAACCTGAGTGATGGATGACTTCCCGTCGGCAATATTAGCAGGTAAGAGCATCTCCAATGGTTCCTGGATCGTGCAGACCCTGGCTTGAGGCCCTGTGTGAGCCTGGGTCTCGAAAGTGACGGCAGGACACAAGGATGGGGGGGCAATTCTAGATGTATTTCAAGGAGATAGAGGAATACAACTAGAATAAGAGAAAGGGAGAAGAGAGAGAAAGAAAATGAAAAAGAAATGAATAAAATTTTTTATGGTTTATTTGTTTTATAATCAAGGTTTACTGCAGTCTTACTTTCCTGGGGAAGGATGGCTGTTCTATAGCGGAATAAATCTACGCCTCCTATCAACTGAAACTGAATAGGGTGCTTGGTATTGATAAATCAATCCGGCCACTATTTTTTAGATCAAAGATCAAGGTCTTTAAAGGGAAACCTATGTGGTTTTTAGTTATACCACCAAACAGAGAGTAAAGATGACTTGATTTGATAAGATGATGTTTGAGGCAGAGGTTTAGTAGAAAAGGAATGATGTGATCATTCAGAGAGACAGAGAAGGAACTTAGCAGAAAGATGCAAGCTGAACTTGAAGGAATGACTTACTATTTGGTGATCCTGACACTGAGAGTGGGAAGATTCCAAAGAGTAAAGGACTCCAAACGATAACACGGCGATGATACGGCGGTGAATCCAAGTTGAGGTGTGCTGGGTTTCTGGTCTGAGTTGGTTCTGGGTGGGTCTGAACCTTGAAGATCCTGAAAATGCGAACTCAGTGTCTACTGAGAAAATTTTCAGAGTTGGATTACATAATCACAACATGTACATGTGGTAGAGAGTTGGAATTCCAACTTGGTTGATATTTCACAAGGTACTGTGAAATATTACAAAGTCTATGAAGGAGAAGAGTAGTGCAAAAGTGTGTAGTGGTGACTAGGGTTAAAATTAACAGAGCAATTCATTTCTGAAGTCAGAAAGTAATAAAAGATTAAGATGAAAAAGTTACAGTAGGAACTTGAGTGAAGAAGGAGGACTTAAAGCAGTCTTTTGGCCAGCTTGGCTGGCTCTAAGGCTGACACCCTGGAGCACATTTCACAGGGTTTCACACACCAAGAACAAAAGCCTCTGAGTGAGAGCCCGGAGGGCAGCCCCGCAGGGTCTCTGTCTCACAGATCAGCTGGCCCCCCGCACCACAAGAAAAACCCGTGCAACTGACACCAGTTGACATGCAAGTTTGTACTCAGACAAAGCTCCTGCAGTATCTCAGCACAACTGCATGGAATCTTCTATTGCACAGTTACTGAGAGCAGCGCACAGTCACTGTGCATTGAAGCTTGGCTGAGAGAATCCCGGAGACATGTAAAGGGGCTTGCTACAGATCTGTGGAGTCTGTGAGAGGTAAGCTGTGGCTGTGAAAGCTGTAGATGGTGCGCTTAGAGTATAGATTGTGTGTGTAATCTAATCTTTGTGATGAATGTGAGGAAGGGAAAGCAATGACCAAGGCAGGGTCTATTTATACCCTGCTGGAATGACTAGTGAAAAGAGATAGAACATCAAGCAAGCCTCAGGAGTGGGAACCTGAGGCGCATGAGACATGAGAGGGAATGGCACAGAAGCTGGTACAGAGCAACAACGGGGCTTGAAAAACCCCAAAAAAAGGAGAGTAGAGAAACTTAAGGAAGAAAGGAATGCGTCCTTGGCGTCCAGGGGGGCGTGGACGTCTGTTGTCTGATGGTTGTGAGAGAACCCAAGGCCGTCGGGAGGGCAAGGGTCAGGAAATTGGGACCCAAGCCCGTTGGTAGGGTGAGGGTTAGTTCAAAGCTTGTAGTTGGTGTCAGAGGTATTGCGGGCCCGGCCACAGAAATGATGGTGTTTCACCACCAGCTTCCTTGGAGTTCTTGCATGTCAACTGAGGGCAGTTGTGAGAGTTTTTCTTGTAGTGTGTACCTTGTTGGCTGGAAGGAAGACCTTATGGTCAACAAGGTACATGTACCTCCATAATCATAGCATGGCTGTGTTGAAGTAGAATCTCCTTTTTCCAGGATGACTGAAAGGTAAAGATGAAGTTGGAAGATTCCAGGAGGACAGGAGCATAAGTCAATCAGTGATCCATTTTGAGCTGTTCATTCCAGATAGAGCGCAACCTACACCACCAGTGCAGTTGGACGTCCCAGTGGCAGGGTCCCGGGGGACAGCACCGGGAAAGCAGCCCTGTCAGCCACAGAATACATGTCACAGTACCTTTCATGTACCAAGTAACTGCAACACCTGTACTTATGTACATAAGTACTTATCCATAATGTTGTTTACCTTTACCTCTTGTTATCTTATAATTATCTTTAACTTATCTTATTTCACTTATCTTATCTTATTAATTACTTATCTATCAAATACATACAAATTATATACTTAAGTAATTAGCACTTACCTTTCACTCATTTATCCGTGAAATACATGTACCACAAGTTATCCCTGTTATACAGTATTTTCACAGTCAAATACCTGTACTAAGATTAATAATGTCCTCATTAATTATTGTGTGATCTTAATAATGACTTCATCATTAATTATCCTTGTCCTCAAAGTCATCACGGACAGGAATCATTACAAATAAAATGTACATGTATTGTTTGCATATCATTGTGTAACAATTGAAGTAATACAATCAATACATGTACTGATCCTTATTTGTTATTTTATTTGAAAGATCTGTTAGCTGTACACATCACAAATACTAGTTACTGATCCTCTAGTAAATAGTATGACAACTCTAACAGATCATTACAAATAAAGATCAGTTACTCAATTAACACTGCTCTCCCTCATAGCACTTTCACCCGTGATTCAGAGCACTTCTTCTCTTTCTCTTGTAATATTCTGGAACTTATAATCAGTGCCACTTCCAATGATTAATCCCCAGAATATTCAGACACCAGTTAAACCAGTTAACATTTATATTGATACAGTAAACGTAACCAACATAAATCTTGTCTACATTTATTGTTCTTAAGCTTCAGTACTCTTACTCAACTTATCCACAGTATTCATAGCCTTGCTGAATATTCCCCTCAACAATACCTGTTAATCTTCAACTAATTTTGTTAAAGCTTAATAAGTATTGTTAGCCCATTCCCTTTTGGGAATAACCAAATCAATCCCAGGTGAGTCTTAGTACCCTGGATGCCTATTAATAACTTGTATTGATCCAGATGCGCTGTTGATAGCAAGCCTCTCAGTAAAGACCATACTGATAGAGTGAAACCTCCTCTTTACAGGACTGGTATTAATCACCCACTACCTAATACTCACCACGCTCAAACACTCCAGTCAACTCATAGTAACAACCTTTTACTACTAAACACTCAGGTTAGTTACCCAGAGGCTGACAAGCCCCCACAGATCAGAGCATCCCAGGCACGTGCTCCTCCACAAATAAAAGGCCATCCATGGGACGTCCTTGTGGAGCATCCACGTGACGTCCCCCCAATGCATCCCACTGCTGTCCTGGAGGTTTTTCAGGGCTGTCCCCTCAAAGGTTTTATATCTGCAGGATTTTGGAATGTGGTGTCTCTGAGCTGTCACCAAGACGGCATTGCACCATTTTTTTGGCATAAAAAATTGTCTTATGCACATCCACCAGCTAGCTTGTTGATACTCATGGCACAACCAGAATAACGTGACGGAGCCTTTCAATTGCTTGCCTGACCAATAAGAGGCCATACATCCCAAGGACATATTGCCTTGGCAATGGTACCTGGGCATTTTTTTGGTTTATTTGTTTGTATTTTATGTTATTTTTAGGTTTGGGGGGGAACGAATCTAAGGTACTAAGGGTGTCTGATACGAATGATTATGTACAGTACATTACATAGGTCAGTTGTTTCGCCAAGGTCAGCATATGACCCACCCAACTGAAAGTAGAGATGGTCACTTTGCATCCGGATATCCGCGCAGATCCGGATATCCGCTCTTAATTTCAGCAGAATTGCCTAATTCCACTGAAATTATGAGCGGATATCCGGATCTGAACGGATATCCGGATGCAAAGTGACCATCTCTAACTGAAAGATGGCATCAACCTCTGAGACAAACTCATTGTTGATAGGCTCATCATCAACATTCAGATGCCCTGTAGCTGGGGGCCACGCTCCCTGGGGGTCCAGAGTCGAGAAGTTGTCCGGGTCGATTGAAGAACTATCTGGCCTAATTTGGCCAAACGCGAGCAAGAAAAAAGTAACTGATCAAAATTCATGCCCAAGGCCAAAAATAGAAAAATTAGAGTGATACTGACCCAGCTTAGAG